GGCTCCGCCCTTGCAGCGCGGCCCTGCGCGCGGCTGGCGCCTCTCCCGCGCGGAGCCTGCCCTCGCCTGCTGCCTTCCTGAAGAGATTGTCGGTTTTCCTTCCCAAAAGTCTTCTCTTTTTTCTTTTTCTTTTTTAATCCTAGCTCTCCCATGGTTTATTTCAAGTTTTGCAGTTATATTTCTGCCACGTACCCCTGTTCGTTACTCTTAGTCTGGCAACGGGCAGTACAGAAACGTCCAAAATAACTTATTCTCGTTGCTTCCCTAGGCATAACCGCGATTGTTCTGCCGTGTGCAGTCCTGGCCGCTTCCTTTTAGATTGACGCGTAGCCAGAGACAGGATATGTCTCACGCTTAAGTTCATTCCTACCTCAAAACAAACAAACAAAAAAATGCCTGTGCGCTTAAATTGTATATTTATTGAAGGATGTAACGAGGAGTGGAACATAATACTGTTCTTATCATTAGATGTTGGTCATTCATTCTGTCATGGATAGTCTTAGATTTTTTTAAAACGGCTTTTTTTAAAACGGCTTCTGCTATTTTTTACTGATACGATAAGACAGAGAAACACATTTCATATGCGTTCTTCTAGTTTTTGATTCGTTTGGGAAAAGCCTCAATTATGCCGATGTTGTTAAGCTAGTTGTTGTTAAATAGTTAACTGTATTTGTAAAGCCACTAACAGCAACTTGCAAGACCCTGTGCACTGAATTAAAAAAACGTAACTACCTCAGGGATGGCTGTGCTTTGGGTTATTGGAAATTATATAAACCAAATTTTAAGATGAAAATTGCCTTTTGCAACGTGCATGTAACAGAATATCATAGGAGTATCACAAAGCAGGAAACTGCTATTTGTCAGGATTGCAAGCCACTCCTCTTGTTTTGGACAAATCAAAATAGATGATGCATTTAAAAATTAATAAATATTTGTCTGTGCTAGACAGCTGAAAGCTTAATGTCAGAAAACAAACATCTCGTGAAAGTTTTGACTTTTATTTTTAAGTAAATGCTTTCAGGATTCTTTAAAGTACACACTGCATTCTTTTTGAAAGACCATTAAAAGTGCTACCAAAAAGCTATACAATGTGAAAGTAAACTATTTGTACGTTTGAGCCTACTGTTAATTAAAAAAAAACTTGATCTCTACTGCTGTAATACATTAACTGCCATGGGATTTTGAACAACTCTGTTACTTTGAGAAATACATCTTCTGCTTCTGATCAGGGAAATAAATGTTACCATGAAACAAGTTGTCAGGTTAGTTGAACATCATCTCTTTCATACTTGAGTAGCTGTAGTCATGTAAACAATTATTTTCTTGTTTCCGCAGTAAGCTTACTGCACAAAACTCTTTGCGATAACAGTGGTTCTTAAATCTAGGTGAATGACTCCACTGTTAGTCTGCTTTGTTGTTCGCTCTTTGATTTAGTTATAGAGAAATTGTAACGGACATGTGAAATGTACAGTCTTTTTCTTACAAAGATCAGGAAGAAAATAGGCCTTTGTATTTTTAAGCACTAGGTTCTATCAAAACATAAAATATCAGAGAACTCAGTCCTTCCCTACATGCTTTGAGTTAACCACAAGCCAAGAAGGAAGATTCTGCATGTGCCTGCACACTGGTGTACGTGGATTATACATACGTGTCTGCTCTTCTGCAGCGTTCAGAATGACTGTACTGCTTTTCAAGCCTAAAAAATAGGGGCGTTTCCTCAGTTAATTCTTCAAGGCGTTAAATATTATGTTTACTCTTTCAAAGTATTTCTATTGAGCTGTTTCTGTAATAAACTTTATGGCTGCATTTTCATCTTTATTGTGGTTTTTCAGTTACACAGTCTCAAAAAGAAAACCATTGGAATAGTAGGCTTTGATACTCTCCTAATTAACATCATGGCTACATGTTATCACTTGGTTAAAAGTTATATTTAATTGCCTCAACTGATACCAAAAACACTTTAGGGAAGTGAGAAGGTCATTCACATCTGTCTTTGCACATCTTCTGTCTTTGTGTGACCATGCAGAAGTCGGATGATCTTAGCAGCGAGGTTGCCCTGGGAAGCTAAGCAGTCATAAGGGAGCCAGAATACTTTTGGGAGGTAGATTGTCAGCATTGACTCTTGCTTTGCCTCACTTTGATTTTTTGAAGCTGAAATGGTCCTGTTTCCCATAGTTTTAGCGAGCATCCAGTTGATATTTGTGAAATATCCTGGGACTGAAATATGTTTTGTAAGTGCACAGTGTTCAAATCAGACATTTAAAAAAACAAACAAAACCAGCTCAGAGTTCTGTCACCTTAAGGAAAATTTCAAATTCACTGGCACTGTTGTTATAATTGAAAATCTCTGCCTGAAGCTTGGCGTTAACATTTTTTCTATAGTACTTCCTAGTATTATAAATGTAATAGCTTTGAATTCAGATGCTAGTGGAAATTTTACTTGGCTTTGTTCACTGTTGCAAAAAGCTATGAAAACTGCTGCATTTTTTTAAAGTACAAAATGTAGTTCTTTATTTCCTACCTTAATCTTTTGACCATTTTGTTTTTTTAAATTACCGGACATATTTCATGACTATGTTTTGCGATGTTACTATTGGCAATGCACGTGGACAAATAAGGGAGCTTGGTTATACTTAGGCTACGATTCTATGATAAAGATGTAATTTTAGAATTGTTTCAGAGTTTGTACACTTTGACAAAATGACTAATTAACCAAATGGGATCCAGTATTTAGATTATTGCAGCTCTGCTGTATTAGGGTACAGCTGTTCACAGTTCGAGCCTCGTATTAGTTTCCTAGATGAAGGTCAAAGCACATCAGAGTGTGGATGTTGTGACTCATGTCAGAAACCGCTTCTAAAGGCTATTTGTGAGACAGGAGAACTTAGAAATCGAGGTAGGCATTTCTCATACTGCCATGAGCGTCCACCGGTGATGTTAGAGGAGATTAAGCTTAAGATTACAGGTGTTAGTGGCTCATACCTGGGAGTTTTCTTGTCTGTAATGGAAGAAGATTAGTAGTTATGTGATTCTGAAAAATAGCCTGATTTAAAAAATAGAAGTGAATTCACGTGAATATATTTATACAAATATATATTGAATATATTTAATACAAATGCATGTTTTGGTAGTCTTAAGTTTTATAAACAGGCTGAAATCTGGAATTGAAAGCAAAGCTGAAAAAAGTGATTTGAAAACTTAATGATTGAACCACAGAAAGTAGCGTAGCCTACAGAGGAGGAAAAGAAAACAACCCCCTTTGCATTAAATAAGGAGCCAGGGAATAGTGCTAACTGGGATCCTTGCCTTGGTATGGAAATACATCCTTTCAGATGACATTTTTACTTTTTTCTCCCTTTTATGGAGCAATAACTTTCTTGAATTGGTACTAAACACCAATCCA